TATATATATATATATATATATATATATATATATATATATATATATATATATATATATATTCTTTTTTCTTTTTGAATTTGTAGGTCTGATGAATTGGATCGTATTTACGATTCCAATGGAATATCTATATCTATATATATATATATACGCACACACACACACACATATATATATATGTATATATATATATATGTGCATGTGTATATATATATATATGCGCAATAATATAAATGATATATAAATGTATATGTGCATATATTCATCTCATTGTTTAAATTTTTATGCAGGCATGTTTGTTACTTGTTTTTTGTACTAATATATTTATGAATAAAGATTTTTTTTTGAGACGTTCATTTTATTAAACGGTCTTCCGGCGAACGTCTGGCCATTCAGTTTCGTACTGATTCTTCTTCATTGATTTCTTTTTTAATTAAATTGATTTTGATTTTGAAAAAAAAAAAAAGCCATTGATTAAAAAAAATGATGATAAAAGTCACAATCTTAATTGTTATATTTAATTATTTTCTTCAAATCTTGCGTTCTCATTAACAGAATTAACAATGATCTTGATGGCAATGGAAACAATTTCCTAACAAAAGCAAACAAAACAAACAAAAAAAATGTCAATCTAATAAAATGATAGAAATTTCTTCGTGACAGAATAAATTATCAGGGAAAACCGTCATGAAAAATTCAAGAACCGAAACGACGTTACGAGAACAAATCAATTTTTACCATAAAGTTCATTTTGAGTTCGTATGAACCAGGATGAAAGTAAGTACTTTTCCTATATAACCCTCGCCTCCGATACAATTACAATACCCTTAATTTTCTCCTCCCCATCTATTACGTATCGGATTGCGCATTTATTTATTTATTTTTAAATAATAAAGCGATATGAAATTATTTAGCCCGGATCGCCTGAAGATACCAAAAGGTTGAATCCAAGGTAGCGTGATAGGCTTATCTCTTAATTTTTAAAAATTTAAAAACTGACCAATAATGAGATTATATATAATAATAATAATAATAATAATAAAATATATATATATAAAAATTAAAAATATATATATATATATATATATATATATATATATATATATATATATATATATATATATATATCTCGATCTCGTGAAGTGCATAGCTTCACAAGGGATTAAGGGATTACTTTTGGTGAGACAGTAGCCTTTTATTGACCAGACAAGCAAAATATGCTTCATTTGTTCAAATATAGTTGTATAGTATAAGTGATGAGACATGTAGAATGCTTTCACAGAGCTCTACAAAACGAATATATAAATATTTTATGCTTATTTAATTACTTTATATGCATCTTTTCTGCGCACTTTAAAAAGTCATTAGGACAACTTAAAATATGCATTTATACCATATTTTAAAATGGCGTCAATGCGAAGTGCGTATAACATATTTAATATGTATATAGAATAATTCAATTAGGCATCAAATATGCTATTATTTGAAAAGTAACGTTCGAAAAAAAATGCCAGGATGTAGCTAAGAAACCTTTTCCTACGATACAGACTACTTTCAGTTCCTGATATTTACCGAAACATTGAAAGTACACAAACAAAATAAAAAACCCCAAAAAAACAAACCATATGCAGGGTCCGATGGATAAACTGCCATCTAAATTACGCATAAATTAAAACAACACTGACATCTCCTTTTAACTGAAATATTTACTAAAATTACACAAAAATATCTTGAAATACTAAACAGTAGATTTATTCAATAAAATCGTCATTGGCTTCAAACACAGCATCCAGACAATTTTGGAATCTCCCGCATCTCTTCTGGGCGGTCTCCTTGTTTAAGTTGATGAATGCTATCATACTCCTTCCATTCAGTTCAACTTTGGTGTTACAAGTTATATATATATATATATATATATATATATATATATATATATATATATATATATATATATATATAAAGAACTTCATAGTTAAGAGCTTCATGAAAGAATTTATTTTTAGACAAATATTAATTTTGCCACTTGTTGTCTTCCTTGTCAATGCACTTAAATGTTTTTCTATTAATCACATGCATTGAGTAATGTACAGTGAATATTTAAAATCAGAATTCAGCTACTGCGCATCATATGGACTTAAAGATTCAACCTATATATTAAGTATTATTAATTGCACTAAATACCTTGAAATACATCTAAAAATCTATTCAATAAAATCGCCAATGGCTTCAACCACGGCCTCCAGACGACTTTAGAATCTCCTGCAACTCATCTGGACGGTCTCCTTGTTTAAGATGGTGAATGCGGCCATAATCTTTGCCTTCAGTCCATCTTTCGTGTTACAAGGAATTTTGTTGGTCTCTCGCTCAACTGCGCCCCACACATGATAATCAAGGGGGTTGCAGTCTGGAGAGTTAGGTGGCCAGACGTAAGGGATAATGTGGTCGCAGAAATTGTCTGACCGTCATGACAGCATTCCCCTGCTTGTGTGGCATGGTGCAGTGTCCTGTTACCAGACATAGGGCTTTCCAACAGCCATCGACTTGACCCAGTGCAGAACCTCCATCAATGCATTGGTGTAGATCTCCGTGTTGAGTCTGAGACCCTCAGCATCAAATCTGGGAGATTTTTCTTATCAAAACGATCAGAATAAGTTTTCCATGCAGGTTTGCATTTGGCATCGCCTTTTAACTCATGCAAATCTTCTCAGATTGACACCCAAACATTCCGAAATTTTCTTATTGGAGTATCCGGCACGAATGCCAAAGAGTGCAACATGCTCTTTCCAAATTTCTGATGGATCCAATTGCATCATAGAGCTCTTTTTCTCACAGTGTGCAACTGATCCTACTATACCGCGCAGTCGACAAAATCAAAAACAAGCAATGCGCATGCGCAAAAGTATAAAATGGTGGCGATTCACCCATCGCACTCAAGTCCGTTGAACATATTATCTACAATTTCCCTCCAAATGTAGTATTTACTTTATAAAATGCTTGTAAATAATTTTTTTAATCATTTCATCCAAGAAAGGCGATAGTTTCAATAGGAGTCAATGGTTTACTGGGAGTAAAAGGGAATGAGAATACTTTATTGAGGAGGATGTATAATGAAAGAACAGGATTCAGGAAGACAGAAGATAGCGAATTTAAATTTTTGAAGATTGTAGGAGGCAGGGAAGCAAAAAATTGGAAAGAAGTTCCATAGTGGAAAAGTTTGAGAAAAGAAACTATTAAAATAGAACACACGGTTACATCTAACTGATTCATCAGTAAAATGATGCGACTTAGTTGTCAATCTAGTAGCACTCTTAAATTCACGGGAAGGGACATTTCACAACCACCGACTCAGTACCGCCGACACACCACCGGCCAACCGGTGTTAGGTGTAATTGTGTGCACTTCTCTTAGATCGAGATATAGAGATTTAAATTAAAAAATAAAGTCATGTATTAAAAAATGATCCTTAATAAATTACATTTATTCGGTTTTAAAAGTCGACGAAAACATTTGAGTCGGCGGTGTTGAGTCGGCAGTGTTAAGTTTGCTCTGATGAATCATCCTGCACCCTAAATTCATGCAGACGAAGCCGCACGGAGGAAAATATTTCGGGGGGAGCCACATCAATAAAAGAAATTGAATTTCAGGGTTTTTGTTAAACACTTGAAAGGCAGGATGGATGAGATTATAAAAGGTCAGAAAAAAGCATTCATTGGATTTCTAAGCGAATAGGGCTATTATATTTACAATACACTGACGTGACAAAAGTAATGGGATGCAATAGGTAAAGACAAATATGCGTACCACCAGCGTATGTTGACGTCATGGATATGCTGAAACCAATATTAATTGTTTACTGACCGGTTCAGTGGCCAGGAGCAAAGCAAGATGAATTATTGAGGTCCAAACTGTGAGGGATAAAAAGATGGGACATTGCATTTCTGAAACTGTGTGGATATTCGATATCCACGGATCTATATTGATGCTTAAGTACCGGAAATACCTAATAATAGGCATTAGCATCCAATGTAGGCAGCGAGGCAACCAGGCAATGGGTTATTAATATTCGTGATCAAAAGACTAGAATTGACACAGGCTCAAATTCCATCCATATTCAATGCATAGCTTACGGGGCGCATACAAAGCAGCTTAGTCCCGTGCTCTTTAGTTTCCATATTGGATAAGAAGGTTAATCTTGTTGCGCTGTTACCACTACGACACCTGAAATAGTGATTCACATGAGTTCGTAATGGGACTAATTAGAAGTTACATGACTGGCAACGTGTAACCTGGCCCAATTAGTTACGGTTTCAGATGCTTCAGTTTGCTGGTAGGTTTTCGGATTAACATGAACCCAGTGCCTACGAAGCCATGCAAACCAGTTGTCAAAAGGCGTGTTGATACGACATTGGTGTGGAGTGTGTTCGCATTGCTTCGTTTTGTCAACCCAAACACATCACTGACCGATGCGTTGCATTGCTCCAAGAGCGATTACGTCCATTTATGGGTTCCATTTAAATCAGCAACAATTTCTTATTTCAACAGGAAACCCACATCCCCAGAATTGGTTTGAGCGTCATTATTAAGATCTCTGACGAATGTGGGACATGAAGAATATTACTTCTTTCCACATACAGCTACTAGTGAGTTCAGGACAGCGTGGCTCAACATAACTTCAAAGATAAAATTTATCCTATATCAAATCACTGGACTTCACCGAGGCTTAATTTTATTTATTCGTTTTCTACGGCTTATAAACCCTGTTTAGGTTATTTAAAGCCGGAAATATGTTTTTAGAATGTAAGTATTTTTCAGAGACAATAATGGTTTAATGATACAATTCTTACTAATTAATCCATAGTAGGGAGAAAATAAGGATTCATAACTTTTCCAACTGTATTTGCACGTAAGTGAATATAACAAACCTAACAGGAATTGAAATTTGGCACCATAATAAACAATTCTGAGTCATTATTTACTACACAACTCGTATACCCAAGCTTACAATATATTCCCAAACGGTCACCCATCTAGGTACTGACAAGGCTCCACGTTGCTTAACGTTGGTGATCGTGCGGAAACGGGTGTTTTAATGTGGTGTGGCTGTAAACCAAACAAGATGGCATTCTACACGATACGAGACGCCTATCACTTAACTTTTAGCATATCAGAGTATATAATTGTATTGCTATAGAATCTGCATTGTAAATGTGCTTTCTGTATAAACGGATTAGTTTTACTATAGAAATGGTATGTGAATTTTTTTATTATTATGGAAATGAATTGAAATTCAGTATAGAAAGAATTGTCATTGGTTAGAAATTAAGGCAAAAATTAATGACATATGGATATTAATGGTGTATACTGGGGGAACTTTTTTTGCATGGAGGACGCATTGACATTCATTGCCCCTCATAGAAGACGCATTCACCAACGATTTTATATCTTTGGTAAATAATGCATAAAACAGATTTTAATAAATATATAATCTTATACAAACAGATAATTTATTCACCTTTTAGACAAATTAATGACTTCTTTGACATTGCTTCTTTTGAGATAGCATTTTGATATCAGGCTCTAACATGATGGCTTTTAGTTTTAAGTGTTCTCAACGAATTCTTGATTGTGTCATGTACGAGAATGTGGATTTACAAATCTATGCTGAATGAAAACATGAAATAAGTCGGCGTGTATATTTACGAAGGCGAGGATATTCAACCGCTATTTTTCAAATTTCAGTGCGATCTTTCTTGCTGTCAAACAGAGTTTTCAGGATATTATCTTTAGACAACTTAGTAAGCTTCATTTGTATCTCATCAGGAGACTCTGATACATTAACTAAGTGTGGCTGAAAAACAAGTTACAGGGTGATGTTATGATTTTTCAAAATCACTGAATCTTCTGCTATATTCTTCTATTAATGTACCAAAAACTGACTGGTATTCCTGAAAAAGATTCATATATATTCTCTTCAATTTCGCTCATTACATTCATCAAGTAGGGAAAGTGTCCTGAAAGTATCTGTCTATATTTCTGAGATGAGGTATTATGTACACTATTTGCATTATTCGGACTATCGTCCTCATCTTTGTGGCCATATTTATCACAACGTTTCGGCCCTTCAGTATCTGTCTATATTTCTGAGATGAGGTATTATGTAAACTATTTACATTATTCGCACAATTTTCCTCATCTTTGTCGCCATATTTATTACAACGTTTCGGCCATTGTACTCTCCGGCCTTCTTCAGATAGTTGGAATATCTAACTGAACCCTTTATTTCGCTCACTGGGGTAGACTGTTCTAGTTCCACCTGCCATGTTTTTAATGGATGTCACTTATCAGTTATCTCCTGTTAATTCCCCATCTACAAGTTTTCCACTGCCTTAACCGGGTATTGAAATTACACTTTTTGGGTCCTGCCACTGGATCTAACCAACGCCTTTATCCACTGTACCATGTGTCCTCAAGGGCACATAGTACAGTGGATGAAGAGGACCCAAAGAGTGTGAGTTCAATAACCGGTTAAGGCAGAGGAGAATTAACAGGAGATAACTGACAACTGACAGTCATTAAACATGGCACGTGGAACTAGAACAGTCTACCCCAGTGAGCGAAATAAAGGGTTCAGTTCTATATTCCAACCACCTGAAGAAGGCCGGAGCGTAAAACGGCCGAAACGTTGAAATAAATATGGCGACAAAGATGAGGGCAATAGTCCGAATAATGTAAATAGTGTTCTGAAAGTTTTGGCTGAGCAAGGAAGGACTTGAAAAACAAATTCTTTCTAAATAAAATAATTTTTTTGCCATATTGATTTATTTTTACTTTATTTAATTCATTTTTCTTTGTCTTTACATCATATCCACATGCAGCATCTCTGGAAATTTTGTATCTGATAATTCACAAAACTAATTTTGTTTGTAAATATCAATTATTCTCTCTCGTAAGAACAAAATGTTGACCAGTAATCGTCCTTGCGATGACCAGCATATTTTTGAGTGATAAGGCATATCTACACTAATAACCTTGTTATCTATCATCAACATGTTTCGAAAATGACGATGCATTTGCTATCGCATCGGTAAATAACTGAGCTTAACAACTTAAGCAAAATATTGCAATAACAATATTGAACATGAATGCTGGTCGTTATTTTAAGAAGTAAGGGGGTACAAATGAAAAGATTTAAAATTGACAGTTTTTTCCATACGGCCGTTAAACACTTCTATCCTTCCCTCTTTCTTTATTTCTTTCTGTTATGGTGTAGAACCATAGAAAGATAACATAGACTCGGATATAAGGTTAAATATTATATTCTTGGAAACGTAGTACAAAGGTAAATATGGACTGGAGAGTACTTTCTCTCACTGATGTCCTCACTCACTCATTCACTCACTCACTCTATGGCTACTAATTGGTGACCCTCACTTGGTGACTCCCTTTACTCAGAGTTGGTAGCCATGTTATATAGGTGTGGAAGAGTCCATTTGTAGGTAGGTCCCCACAATACTTTCTTTCTTTTTCTCACTGAAACTAAGTAGTGTCTTTTCCCCTCTTTTCCCGACATCAAAACAGAATATCTTATTATTTGTTAGGTATTGAAAGAGACGTTAAACACTTCTATCATGCCTTCTTTCTTTCTTTCTTTCTTTCTTTAATTGAAACCAACTTGTATATTTGCCTTCTTTCCACGCGTTCAAACCGGAATTGTTCATTATTTATATCAGGACGTATTGGTCGTGCAAAATAACTAAAATCGGGACAGGCACAATTATGATAGGATGTCAAATGATCACAATTGATTTTGCCGACGTAGCAAATATGTTGTGACCAAGTAAATGGTTAAGTAATAACAAAAAACAGGTTTGCAGATATATCGTATACTAAACAGTAAGTACACCAGAAGAGTATTACGCGACTAGTGAGGGAGTGTATCGAATGAACTAGCGCTCAATATATTCACTGTTCCCCAAAGCCTTCTGTCCTGCTAATCTTATTGTAGGCGGAAGAGTCTAATATAGACTCTTTAGAGGGAGGACACCACAACAATATATGAGACGTAATTCAAACAAGCATGAGCCAGAGACATGCAAGTTTAAATTAGGATACAGATATTGCTTAAATCGATCGTTTATACAAAAAACTGTGAGTGAATGGTTTTCAATAAAAAATGAACAGACAGAAAAGATAACAGGAAACCAGATAGCTTGTTAATAACGACTCTAAAATGAAACAGTTCTCTGGTAATTACTAAACAAAACAAAAAAACAAAAAACAAAAAAAACAAAAAACAAGTATGGCTGATGCTAACCACCAGCTGAGCAACTCTGTGCATTCTTGTTCTCTTGTCTTCCCCTGACAGGAAGTACAGCGATTATATCAATTGATGAGACTGCTGATAAGAAATTCAGTTTACTATGTCGTGGTAGACAATTTTTCTCGTCTGGATATATCTTGCACATTTATTAGCCATTCGTCCGTGTATCGAATATTAACGTTCCGTCTAGTCTGCTGATTCTGTGTTATGTCTAGAATTTAAAAAGAAAAATCAAAAGAAAAATCGGCAACGTTATCAATCCTGACCCGGCATCTCGGATCCAGTCTGTTTCTCACCACTGTAACGTACATTACCTTTGCCGCTTTTTTAAATATTTGTACTCTTATGAGCTTTCCTCGTTGGTACCTTGAAGTCACAATCTCTCTAACTATACCAATTTTTCATCTTTCTATTTGCAGTCGAGAACAAAAAATTATTAACTTTAATTTTTAAAATTTGATTATTTTCAAAATATTTTTCAAGTGCTCTTTAACAGAGCACGGATTTTCAATACAGCATTTTAAATATACAACATTTATTTATTAACCCTTTGACCCCTGGCTACCGCTTTATCGGTGGTAGAGAAATATGACTTAATGCCAAGCCACCGGTTGAACGATAGGTAAAGACTTGTAACTAATTTTATATCTACCGTGAAAAATTACATTACATACCAAGTATTTGCGAATTTTGACTCAGGAGCTCAGAGAGAAGAGTTAAAATTGTCCAGGAACGCTTGAATTTATATTATTTTGCTTTGCACCAAGGAAAAATTATTTCACAAAATTCCAAAAAAATACTAAGGTCCAAATTATTAACCCCTACCCCGATGCAAATATTCAATGGATTTTTTTTTCTTTTGTAATAATAGCTTTGAACGTGAATTGGTTCTGAGATCGGCCTCCTTGTCGCCGTCTTTGTCGTTCTGTTGCTAAAATTTCGGGAGGTATTTCAGTTGCGAACAACTGTTCTAATAAATGCATAACGTTTTTCACATTTTCTTAAATCATTTCACCCCAAGCAAATCGTTAATGTCATTGAGAGGCAAGAGATTACACTGGGAATGGAAGAGAAGGAGAATACTTTATTGAAGCGAAAGAACAAATGAAAGAAAAGGATTTAGGAAGATATAAGATGGCTGCTGAAATTGATATTGAAAGAAACCGGAAGAGAGTTCCGCAGGTGGGAAGTGCGAGAAAAGAAAATAGCAGAATAGAACTTACGGTTACATCTGGTTATTTCAACAGTAAAACGATGTGACCTACTTAAAAAATCTAGTAGTGAGCTCAAATTCACTCGGTCGAGTTACGAAAAAGGAGAGCTCAATAGAACAACTACCATCAAAATATTTATGGAAAAGACAGAGGAAAGCCACCTCACGGCGGTTGAAAAATGACGGAAATCGAGATGTTAGATCATGACTGATAACATTACAGACTTTTCTATGAATATCAAGATATATAGCCGAAGAATCAGACCCGATATGACAGCAATATTAAATCACGGACGAATCGTACATTCACAAATGTGCAAGATGGATTCCGATGAGATAAACTATCTAGCACGACACAATCGAACCAAACTTCTTAGCAGCATATCTATCAACTGATTCACTATAACCGCTCCACTCTATGTCAGTAGAAAACATGAGCCCCTCTTAGACGAAAATTAGTTGCTTTCCTGGAGGTTGGCATGATGATGGGAAGTTAAAGTGATTCTTTCAGGTAATAAAATGGCACCAGTTTCATTTTTGTAACTTTAAAATTCACACGCCATTTCTTAGAACTGGCGGAGGTCATTTTTCAGAGAATTTTCTAGTTTTACTTTGTCTGAGCTATCGACATTGGTTTTGGTACGTTTCGGCGTAGCCCATTTGGCGTGGCTGATACGGCGTGGCTTATTCGGCGTCAGAAAAATAATTGGACTATTCGGCACAGCCATTTAGGCCTCAGGCTTTTTTGACGTCACTGTCTTTTGACCAGAGGCAACCCCCTTCCTGAAAAAAAGGATAAAAGCATCCAGAACATCTAACTTTCAATATGACTTTTTATTTATTTAGGCAATTAAGGATCCTATTAATATACTAATGGAATAATGCAAATTAAAAACATGAATTAAAAATATTGTATTTAAAAAAAAGTAAGCCAATTAGTAAAACTATTTAATCTTAGAAATATAATCTTAGAAATTTCGTAATCATGAGCAACACCCATTATGAATTCAATAGAATCTAATGATTCAACTTCCATTATGACTGTTTTGATTCGTTCGTCAGCATCTCTATTTATTTTTTAACTTTTTGCGGGGTGGATATCCAGCGATCAACGTTTCGAGAAATGCATCATGTTATTTCTGAACTTTCTGTAAGCTATTAATAAATTAAATTAAAAATGCCTCGAAATATTCCTTTTCTTAAATATGAAAATGTCACCAACTACTCTTTTTCTTAAATTGGTCGATTCGAGCATATAACATCGAAGTACTAATTTGACTATTACACGAGAGAAAGAGAGAGAGACGGAGAGAGAGAGAGAGAGAGAGAGAGAGAGAAATAGAGAGAGTGAGCAATTTTTACTATAACGACGAAATAATAATCTGACGCCTAATCTTTCCTCTGCCGAAAAATTCCTATATAGTCTCGGCTACGCCGAATCGGCAACGCCGTATCGGTTATGCCGAATCAGCGACGCCAAATAGGCTACACCGGAACTTCCTATTCCCATCGCAATTACCGTTAAGACAGGAGTAAATAGTTGTATCATCAGCCTAAATAACTTTTTTTTTAATCACTTCATCCCAAGCAAAGTGGAATTGCTACTAGTACGCAAGGGATTACAGAGAGTTAAACTGAGAGAAAAGACTGGCTATAGGGGGATTAAGGAAACGATAAAGATGAACGGCATTGAAGAAGATAAGAGTTGGCGATTGACATTGCATTTAAATTTTTGAAGATTGTAGCTATCAAGTAAGTAAAATAAAGAGAGTTCTACAGTTGGAAAGTGCGAGAAAAGAAACTGTTGAAGTAGTGAAGGTGAGATTTAACTATTTCAACAGTAAAAAGCCAGTACCTAGATGCTAATACCTAGTAGGGAAATAACGTAAAAGATATTAAGTAAAATGCGGTTTATTTAATATCAAGAACAATAACTGAATCAGTGATATCATTGAACGTGTAAAAATACATATAGAGTCACCGGATTAATTAAACAGTTCATTTGCCTCCATTTTAGTTGCATATTCTGGGTTTCCGCTTTTTTTATTCTTAATACATTGTTTCAACACTTTTGTTTCATTGTTTCTCAATATTAACACTTTCTAAAAGCTGCGCTCACATATCGTATGATTTAGTTTACAAGATATTCTAAGCAGGTAACATGAGGAGATCCAAACCCATTCTTTTATGGCAGATATTTCAAGACCGCCTCGATGTAGATTTGATGGTCGGCAGGCATTGATCCTGATTTTCAGAACAAGACAAAGATTTTCAATGGGGGATCCAGACAAGTTTTGGGCAAACCTGTATTTAACATTTATATTGACTTTCTGAAAGCATTTTAGCACCAAAGACGATGCAAGTCCTGCACCGTTGTCATGCTGGAAGACATTCGACGGTGTTTAGCATGGCTTTGTTCAAAATTACTTTTGGTCGTTAAAAAGCACGTAGAAAAAATTGTAAAAAAATTCCTTTTTTCATCGGGGACTAACAATTTTTTTCTGTCAGATCTATCTATCTATCTATCTATCTATCTATCTATCTATCTAAATCATTTAATCTATCCCAAATTTTTTATCTATCTATTCCACATTTTAATAATATATGACAATTTTAATCTATCTATACTAAGTTTCTATCTATCTATCTATCTATCTATCTATCTGAATTGTTTAATCTACCCCAGGTTCCTGATTCATCTATCCAACTTTTTCAAATCTACATTTTAGTCTGTACATACTAAGATTTGTCTCTTTTTATCGTGTGCCGTACCGATCAGTTTCTACTACATATTTGTATCCTATATTATTAAGGTATTGTAAATATATTTTAGACTGTCTATATTTCTGAGATGCGGTATTATGTACATTATTTACATTATTCAGACTATTGTTCTCATCTTTGTCGCCATATTTATTATTACAACGTTTCGGCTGTTGTACGCCCCGGCCTTCTTCAGGTGGTTGGAATGTCGAACTGAACCCTTTATTCCGCTCACTGGGGTAGACTGTTCTAGTTCCATGTGCCATGTTTAATGGATGTCAGTTGTCAGTTATCTCCTGTTAATTTTCCCTCTGAAAAGTTCTCCACTGCGTTAACCGTGGATAAAAGAAGTTAGTTAGGACCCAAAGAATGTGAGTTCAATACCTACGGGCTCGGAAAACTCACGTTAAACTCGGCCTTGTGCCATATGCAACCCTCGTGGAAGGGTGGCTAGATACCGAATCAAGCCGATCGAACTCTCTGCCTCTGAGCGGAGAGGAACCCGGCCGAGGCTCCGCCGAAGGGCAGAGTCTCGTTCGGGGAGGTTGACCAACCCGATCCCGTTTATACGGGTCCTACGGGCTCGGGAAACCCACGTTAAACTCGGCGTTGTGCCACATGCAACCCTCGTGGGGGGTGGCTAGATACCGAATCGAGTCGAGCCGATAGTAGTTCACTCCAAACCAGACTGAGAGTCATACTAACACCTTCCACATCTTGTATTAGTATTTCGTGTAATATACCTTCTTTATTTCTACTCTTGTGTTCGTGTTGTTCTTCCTTGGTCCTAACCTGGACCATAACACTATCTATCTCAATTACCTGATTTATCTAGCCTAGTTTTTAAAATCAGTCTATCTATCTATCTATCTATCTATCTATCTATCTATCTATCTATCTAAATGTTAAATCAATCTACGTAGCTTAATAATGAACGTGTAAAAAGTTATTTTAGAAAACATAAACTTTATTTTCTTTCCCTCTCTTATGAATGCATTTGATGTGGTGGTGAATGTTAACCAGAAAAGTTGCATATTTCAAAGTGAACCTTTTCCCTCCGCCTGTATTTAGCTCGCCATAAAAATACTTCAACTTTTATGCATGCAGCTCCTAGCACCATTTGCATCCATACCCAGTTTTTTTCCCCAGTTTCTACATTCGGATGATTCTCTTTCCTTTTTAGCCTTCGGCAACTGGCAAGGAATTCAAAACTCACCTTTCTCGTTGCTTCTCTGGCAGAAACTGATCGCAATACCCTCATACAACAACCCCAACCCGCCACCGTTACTCCCGCAGAGAGAGCTGCTCTTTCTTAAGGGAACGACGACGACGTGGGGAGGGTTGGTGAGGTTGAGGAAGAATCGATAACCAATATCAAATTGAACACGTCCGTAATCGCCCCAAGTACTTGAACTGATTATCACATTGTTGGTCACGTGCCCTTCATCGATCGCATGCAGTGAATTGATGAGAGCAGCCATGGAGTTTGTTCAAAGTGTTTTCTTGTTAAAGTCTGGACACAATCCATGCTTGGTCAAATGGTTTCCGAAAGCTTCATTTCCGATTGTCCCCCGATAAACGACAGTGGATCTTTTAGTTTCATTTAATTGATAAATCACTTGTTCGTACACGCACATATATGGATAAGCACATATCCACACACACTTACATGCACAAGTATATATGGATAGGCATAAAAGTGTGTATATATATATGCATATTTGCACTAATATTGACATGCACATGCGCCAAGTTAGCGGGAAAGGCCAAGACCGACTTTGCATTTCCCAACTCCCATCGATAGTGGAAATAATCGATTTTTTCATGTGTCTACGGCAGTTTTCATGTCGTTTGCGACCGTTTTCTACTGGCCAGAGTGAGAGCCTATAGCTGGCTGCCACAAATAGGCAGGAAGATTCTATTGGCCAGCGTGAGAGCCAACAGCTGACTGACACGAATGTTAACTAGCAAGCTAGCATGCAAAAAATCGATAGCTGCATTCGTCACAAGTGGGAAAAATTTAAATCTGCATGGCACTTTACTCCAATTGGCTCATTCGCTTGCTTAACCTCAACGTTGATTCTGATTCCGCAGAACTCGGTTTGGTGTGAAAAAGTATTTGTTGTTAACATTCTTTTTTCATTCAATTTTTCCAGTTACGTTTCCTTTTTTTAAAGCTGATCGTTTTGTGTTCATTTTGTTTAGTTTTTTTTTCGTAACATATTTACTGTTTATTATAGAGCTTAGAAAAAAATTCGCAGTGTGAGATAGGCAAGAAGTAAGGCATGTAGCAACATTATCACGGCAAAGGGCACTCCTTTGAAGGCAAGGAAAGGCTAAAATATCTTAAGCTAAGTGATAGCAATTGCTGTATGAGTCGTACGATTTTTGAATGAAGCACAGGCAACGCCGGACCATGCTGCTATATATATATATATATATATATATATATATATATATATATATATATATATATATATATATATATATATATACTTGACTCTCCTGTCGAATTCGAAGTATGAGGGTCAAGTAGATCAGCTCCTAGGAACCGACACCATCACATGAGATTTGGTTATAGTGGTGAAAGTTTTGTGCAGAACCATCCATACTCTTTATTTCGTTCACCAGAGTAAATTGTTCTAGTTCCACGTAGAGCCATGCCTCTTCCGGTTGTCTTAGTTATCTCCCTAAAGGACACATGGCCGAGTGGTTAAAAATCGTTGGTTGGATTCAGTGGCCTAACTCAAAGAGTTGTGAGTTCAATACCTAGCTACTGCAGTGGTGAGCAACAACAAAAATGACTTGGTGTTAAAGAGAGATAACTGAGACATCCGGAAGATGCATGACACGTGGAACTAGAACAATCTACCCCGGTGGGTGAAATAAAGGGTTCAGTCCGAAATTTCAATTACCTGAAGAAGGCCGGAGCGTACAACGCCCGAAACTTCATGGCAATAAATATGAGGACAACAGTCCGAACAATGTAAATAATGTAAATAATTATAATACATCATGTCAGAAATATAAACAGATATTTAAAAACATATATATATATATACCACAGCAATTTAAGTGTAGGTTTTCAATAGAAATTTTCGCTAGTGACAGCCGAAAATAACAATCCTCCTTTCCACAATATGCTTTCCAAATGTATAAAACATTATAAATATATCCGACCGGATAATTAAACAAAATCAGTCAGAATTGATTGATTTGTTTCTATGGGTTATCAACCCTTTTTAGGTTATTTCAAGCCAGAAAATAATCATAGATTGTAAGGATTGGGGGAGGGGGGATTATAATAATGATTTAGTGATACAAGTCTTACTAATTAACCCATAGCTGGGGAGAGAAGAGGTGGATTCATACCTTTCCCAAGGGTATATACTCGTAAATATTGCAAGTGAACATAACGAGCCCAATGGGAATTGGAACTCTCCTTTCCGGTTAACAATTCCGAGCCGTTACCTATTACACCACCCGCATATCCATGCTTACAGCACCTGGTATTCCCAAGTGGTAATCCATCTAGATACTGACTAGGATCGACGTTGCTTAACTGCGGTTATCGTACGGGATCCGGTGTTTCAATATGCTGTGGCTGTAAGCCAAAATCGCGCATGAGATAAGACATCTGAACTAAACGCATCAGATGAGAATATCCTAGGGGGAAATGATCAAGTTATTAGTTAACAGAGCCTCTATGCTAATTTTCTACCGTCATGTTGACAAAAAGTTATTAAAATTGCATTGTATAATTTGTTTTCTTTTTTAAACCGTAATTGAAATGCCATTATTATCAAATAACATTTCAGGCGTGATCAAGAGTAACAAGTATAAAGCACGTTTTTAAATAAATAAAAAATGCATTTAAATTATTGACATTTATTTTAAAACACTAGATTTGGTTTGCAACACGTTGACGATTGTTGAAATCATCACAATATTAAGTATTGTTAAAGTTACCGCGACTCTCCCGGCTGTGCTTATATTGACTGTGCTACAATTGTGCATTATATTATACGACAATTATATATATATATATATATATATATAGTAAAGACATTTTTATGTTTAACATTGTTATTTATAGATACAAGTATTTAAGCAAATGCTCTGTTTATTATAAACAGTATTAAATAACATTTACCGGCCTGAATGTCGAGAAATTTTCATAGAAAATATTCGTTCTTTGACAGGATTCGACCTGCATCTTATACGGAACCGTCATTTACGCTGACGTGCCTAACCTCTGGGCCACAAAAGAACCTTTCGGTAGGCATAATAATTTATAAGCAGTAAATTCGACCTTGTCTACCGAAAGGTTCTTTGTGGCCCAGAGGTTAGACACGTCAGCGTAAATGACGGTTCCGTATAGGATGCAGGTTCGAATCCTGTCAAAGAACGAATATTTTCTATGAAAATTTCTCGGACATTCAGGCCGGTAAATGTTATTTAATACTGTTTATCATAAGCAGAGCATTTGCTTAAATACTTGTATCTATTAATTACAACGTTAAACATAAAAATGTCTTAAATAAATTGTCGGACCTTGTCCATTTCTTAATATATATAATAAACAAATATTGTACTAACTTACGCACGCTAGTAAAACTAACTATACGTTGTACCCACTTAACTGTACTTCTCCCCAAAATTTGGCTTTGATCGGTCAACGTATGGTGATTTTAGAGTATGTGACGGACGGGCAGACTGACGGAAGTCACAGAATTTTATATATAGTTAAACCTAAAGAACCAGACAAATGGCTTCCCTGAAGATCCGCTAAGGTGAAACCTTGGTAGGTTTGTCTGGCTCTCTAGGTTGAACTAGGTCTGCTCTACTTACTGTATTGAGCACTTTATTTAGTTATCTTGCCTACTCGTATCGGGTTTTTCTTCTTTGGGCTTTGGACTTGCATGCTAGACGATTATTTTCGGTTAACGTACATGTTCTTCGTTCTTTCTTTTTTATACCTTTTTTCCCTTTAGTATTGGTTTGATTATTTGCAAATCAAGACACCGAAGGTTTTCCGAACGAGTATAGTTTCTTATACATATAAGATTACTACTTCTTCTACTACTAAGAATTTTATATAGTGATAGATTTAACATGTATAATTCTTTTTTTTTACCTATAACAGAATTTTACAATTTGACTTCTGAAGCTATTTCATATATACCACTGGGGACGAATCAAATTTTAGCAGGGGGTGATTAAAACATTAGAAGTTTAAAGGAGTTACTAGTTTGAAATTATTAATCGCTTCATAAGGACAGAACAAAAACCATTAGATCATGTAAACTAGGAGCCAGACATCGCACATTCATAATGACACCTGGAACTTTTCATTCCAAACAAGGCAACAAAACCAAGAACATTCGGGGGTTATTGGGTTTGAAAAATATATAAGAAAAACATTATTAAGGAGAGAGAGCAATGAAATAACAAGGATTATAACGAGAGAAGATAACGATTGATATTGCATTTAAATTTTGGAAGATCAAACTTGACTGGAAAGCAAAATTCTGAAAGAGAGTTCCATAAAAAAAAACAAGTTTGAGAAAAACAATTGTTGGCAAAGAACTTACGGTTATATCTATTTAAGCTGTAAAATAATGAAATCTTGCCGCCAATCTAATATTGCATTTAAATTCGTAAAGTTTACGTTATAGCGTCTAGGTACCATAGTTCAACAGAAGAATTACCATGAATCTCTATAAAAGGCAGGATGTGTGTTTGTGTGTGTGTAATGAATGCATGGCTGCAATTTTTGACGGATTTGCACCAAAATTTACATGCACATGCTCCAAGTTAGCGGGAAAGGCCAAGACCGACTTTGCATTTCCCAAATCCCATCGATAGTGGAAATAATCGATTTTTTCATGCTTCTACGGCAGTTTTCATGTAGTTTGCGGAAATTTTGTTCTGGTCAGAGTGATAGCCTATAGCTGGCTGCCACGAATAGGCAGGAAGATTCTATTGGCCAACGTGAGAGCCAACAGCTGACTGACACGAATGTTAATTAGCATGCTAGCATGGAAAAAAATCGATAGCTGCATTCGTCACAAGTTTGAAAAATTTAAATCTGCATGGCACTTTATTCCAATTGGCTCATTCGCTTGCTTAAACTCAACGTTGATTCTGATTCCGCAGAACTGGGTTAGGTGTGAAAAAGTATTTGTTGTTAACATTCTTTTTTCATTCGGTTTTTCCAGTTACGAGTCCGTTTTTTAAAAGCTGATCGTTTTGTATTCATTTTGTTTAGTTCTTTTTTCGTAACAGATTTAATGTTTAGTATAGAGCTCAGAAAAAAATTCGCAGTGTGAGATAGGCAAGAATTAAGGCATGTAGCAACATCAGCACGGCAAAGGGAACTCCTTTAAAGGCAAGGAATGGCAAAAAATATTTTAAGTCAAGTGATAGCGATTGCTGTATGAGTCGTACGATTTTTGAATCAAGCACGGGCAACGCCGAGCTATGCTGCTAGTAGATCAATAGAAAAGGCACAGAGAAGCTACGTTATGGCGATGTGAAAGAATACCAGGACGCATAACATTGCAAATTATTCTTTGGGTGTTATCAAAGATCTCTAAATATATGGTAGGAGCACCGCGCCATATGTGGCAGAAATATTCTATGGGATTATTGCGTCGCGCCAAATTCCCCGTCTTTGTTGGTGCGGGTTTCATACGAAGCTGATATTCATTTGCTAGCATTTTCAAGTACATATCTTGTGGAATCTGGGTTTAGCTATATGCATTATTTATTAAAGCAAACTTGGAATATAAACGTCGTCATTTGCGATTCACAAACCGGAAACCAGATATTCTTAATCATCTCCTTGCCCACTAATCTCATCCTTACCATTAAAAATAATATCAGCTTTAAAGATGCGCTTACATTTAGTGTTCACTGATCCCATTGTCCTATTAATTGTATTAAAATTTGGTAAATTATGATTTGTACGTTTATACTGTATTAAATTGTTTGAGGGAAGAATGGAAATTAAATTTCCTTATCTTTTTGCAGCTTTCTTCAATGTTATGGCACTTTATTTATATGAATAACTACTTTATACATTGAACGCTTCTCTATACTGTTCTAAATCAGTCTAGAGTTCATTGGCAGCTTCATTATCAGACTGATTTCCGTAGATACCTCAAAGGCTTTTGATAAAGTGTAGTATAGAATGGTTGCTACAGAAACTCTCCTGTTATGGCATCTCATCAACTCCTTTCTTTCATGTGAATGGCCAGTCTTCTGAAACTCGTGTGATCAATGCAAGCGTCTCAAAAGGATCTCACCTCGTTCCTATAACCTTTCTTCATTTTATTAACGATCTGCCGCGGAAAATTCTCTGATCATAAGTGCATATCTGTGTAGATAATACTAAATTTTATGGATGCATTTACAAAAATCAAGGTGATAGAAGCCTTGATGGTGATATCTGTACTAAATCTAACAGCTCAACTGAGAAAAACTGGCTTCCAACTTTCAATACCTCAAAAGCAAAACTAATATCATTTCATCATTCCGGAACAAACCCTGAGTTTTCACCATCACAACGAGGCTCCATACTTTGAATGTCTGTTGGTTTCAGGTTCAACCTAGACCTCAAGTGGTACTCACATATTCGATCTATTACTAAAAGTGTTGAAAAAATGATCGGCTCATTTAATCGCTCTAGGAAGTCTCTGATCCTTTCTACATGAGTTAGATTAGACAAAAGACAAAAAAAAAAAAAAAAAAAAATCAGCAATATCATTGGCCCTGATCTGGCATCTCGGCTTCCGTCACTTTCCCACCGCCGTAATGCCGCCCATCATTACCTTTTCTATAAATACTTTCATGGTAATTGCTCTGATGATCTCTTCGCTGTCGTCCCTAGACTCTTTGAATTTAAGCGCTCTGCTAGACTTTCAACGAGGTCTCAACAATTTATAGTTGAGCTGGCTAGATGTAACCGTAAATTCTATGCTGACACTTCATTCTCTCACACATCTCGCTTGTGGAACTCCCTTCTGGCCCCATGCTTTCCTGACAACTTTAATCTGCAAAAATTTAAATGAAATATCAATCGCTATTTACTGTCCTCCTGATTTCTGTTCTTTAGTTCTCACTTCTTAGCAATATTCCTGTTTCTAACGCTTCCTCATCCAATAAACTCCTGTGTCTCAGTGGCATTAATCTCTTGCTTGGGGGTGAACTCGATTAAAAAGGTAGTATTGCTGCCATATCTGGGATGGATCTATTCAATCCTCACTTTCCAATTTTGATCAGGTTCACAATCGTCTCTTCAGTTTTGTAAGGGAAAGACTTATTCTCCTCGTTGCCGTTTCTTTCCTACAGACGCATCGTCGCTTGTAGTTACTCTATCTTCATTTCCGTACCAAGTATTCATATGAGTCCCATTCCTTAGTTCCCTGAATTCACACATTTACGGCTCGGTTACGTCATGCTACTTCCACGGAGTCGAATCACCCTCATTTCCATCGTATTCCAAATTGAAGAAAAATGTTTAACTCAGTTTTTCGCAAGAACTGCTACTATATGGAACAAACGCACGCTGGAAATTCCTTCCTGCGCACTATGATCTAAACCTCTTCAAAACCAAAGATCAATCTCTATCACACTTCCTTATCCTCATAATCTTAATACCACCTACTCTTTCATTCGTATCACAGATATCATTAATTCATAAATAAATATTTTCCCGGTAATTATTCTGATGACTTGTTCTCTTTTGTCAGCACGTCTTAGATCAAAGTTTCCTGATATGGTTATAAAATTTATTTCAGAGTTCTGATATTTCTTGGTGCGAATACTTATCCCATTCTTGGTTTTCAGGGACAATCTGTTTTTGCTTCATTTCAATCTAAACTGTAGTTCTATTTATTTAAGGCTGTATTGGTAACTAAACGTCCCTGTACCTTTTTCTTTTAGTATTTTCATAATGATTCTGATGAGTTTTCCGCTTTTACACGTCGACTTTACGAATTTAAGCGCAGTGCTAGATTGGCAGTTAGGTCTTATCATTTTACAGTTGAAGTGGCTCGATGTTACCGTAACTTCTATGCTAACAGTTTCTTTCTATCTCACTTCTCGCTTGCGAAACTCTCTTCCAGATTCTTGTTGTTCAGTCAACTTTGATCTTCGAAAATTTAAATGCAATGTCATTCGTTATCTTCTTTTTCTTTATTGCTGTTTTTTTTTCATTGTTCTCTCTCCCTGATAATATTTTACTTTTCTTATATTTTAACACTCAGTAACCTCTTGCGTCTTAGTGGTTTTATCGTATTAATTGGGGTGAAATGATCTAAAGAATATGGCCATTCTAACAGTACAGTTGTGGCTTTCGAGTTTTGTACTTTGTGAATTTTAGTATAAAATATTATAATATAAACTTGCCGGTGCGCTAGTTAAAATTAACATATATGGGTCGGTCAAAAATGAATCAGAATTGGTTTACTAGTAGAACAGAATATACCAAAAGGAACAGAATCGGGATATGCCATTTTTGAATTAAGTCCTACGACGAATGCATACTCGTCTCATTAAAACTTGGCTGTTTATTTAACCATCTGTTGGTCTATCTATCTTCTTAATCATTGAAGAAATGCGGTCATCTGGGGGGTATCCATGTTGCACAGAAAACCACTCTTTCGCTCCCTCAAGAAGCTTGTCAGCATTGTAAATCATTGAGTAGCCAAGAAACTGTACGAAACTGCAAGGACTCCCATGGCTCACCTGAAAGTTTTTCAGTAGTAATTCTTCTATCAGATTTTACTGAGATCTGCATGTTTCGCCTTAACTACATTCAAAGTAGCAGTTGACCTGCCACTGTAGGGTCTGTCACTAAGCTTCGTTTCGCCTTTCTCTTTATTGCCATTATTTCTACAAAGTCATCTCGTTTCTGCGAGTATTGACGTTTCATAAGCATTCACTCATCTCCTGTGGATGATTGCGGCACTTTCTCATTCCAAAAACAGATCTTTTATGAGAAGTATTTTTGTACATGTGTCCAATAGGCAATCATTTTTAAAGAAGATTATGGGTAGGAAAAGAGAAGCTAAGGACATAGATTTTCTTCTTGCGTTTCTATATACTTTTTTTGGGGGGGGTTATAGCTAAAATCCGCACAAGAACTTTTGACTAATGCTTTTAAAATTAAATTAGAAAAGACATTACTTGTCGACCGACCATCGTAATGTAAGAATGGAGAAAGTGCAACTCGTAAAAGTTCGTGTGATTTTATTGTATTTTACACCTTATATGATCAAATGGAACCGATTTTAGCGCAGTGATGGCATTGCAATGAAATCTTATATTGTTGAACGATTATACGACACAGAAAAAAAGGGAAATTAAGCTGTCATATCGAATGGAGAAACACTTTACAATTTATAAACAAATACACACTTGTATACATCGAATTGCGTCAGAGAAATCAGGAGAGAACATGGCTTGGAAAAACTACTTCGAATCGAAACACATGAAAAATGTACGGTGAAAATCACAAGGCAACGTGAGAAAGTCAATAAAATGCAAACGACACAGGAGGAAAATTCAACAAACTGAATCCGAAAAAGCCGGAGACATTTGTAATCAGATAAGAAGAGATTAAAATGGGGAATTGCTGCAGTGTTTGAACAGAACTTAATTCGATTAATAAAAACAAAAGAAAATGATTAAATCTGCGACACAACAGAACAGTGAAAGCTTTATTTTGTTTTTGATTTCTTTTACAAAGAACTGCATTAAGTCGTTATGACTTGTGTGCATAAACAAAGGCACGCACACGCATAAACGTACCTTTTACCATTCTATCGACTTAGGACCATATATATCATGGTGAAACCCTGATTTTCGTCCGATCATCAAAGTGCAGCCTGGTCAGTAACTAGACGGGTGGCCGGTTGGGAATACCATGTACTGTAAGCTTGGATATGTGGCTAGTTTAATGAATAACGTTTCGGGACTGAAAATCGGAAAGCGAAGTTCCAATTCTGGTTGGGTTCGTTATATTCACTTACGCGAGAATTGGCTTAAGAAAGGTAAAACAGTAGGATTTGTATTAGTAGAAAATTATAATTTAAAAAAAAAATTTTAGGATACCAAAATATATATTGGCTTTAAATAACCCTCAAATTGATAATGCCGTAATAAAACAAAACAACCAATCAATCAATAAATAAATCTATCTATCTATCTATCTATCTATCTATCTATCTATCTATCTATCTATCTATCTCCAGTCTATTCCTATTATCTATATCTATCTATCTATCTATATCTATCTATCTATCATATCTATCTATCTATCTATCTATCTATCTATCTATCTCATCTATCTATTCCTATCTATTCAGTCTATTCCTGTTCATATCTATCTATCTATCTATCTATCTATCTATCTATCTATCTATCTATCTATCTCAGTCTATTCCTGTTCATATCTATCTATCTATCTATCTATCTAAGGCTTTCATAGACGATAACAAAATTATCCTAAATAGTTTCTCCGCTTTCCGTCTGTTGTAATCTAGGGAAGGTTATTTATTAGAATAATCACACGAAGGTTGGTAATGAACGATAATACTTCGGTCAAGAACAACACACATAAGATTCACCAGCAACTAAAATAAATCTCTAGAACTGCAGACCAACATACAGTATTTACTACTGTTTTTATGTGAATGGGGACATACCCATTATCGTCCGTAATTCAAAAGATGAAAAGACAAATCTGACTTTATTTTTGCTGTGATTTTATTTTAATAATCTCACCCCAAACAAGGGAATAGAAATCACTAAGATGCAAGCGGTTAATGAGAGTAAATGAAACAGAGGAAAAAGAACAAAAATCAAGTCGACAGAAAATGACGATTGACGTTACATGTAAACTGCCATTTTGAAGAAAACAATGCATATATATCTATCTTCTCATTTGCAATGTGGAAGTGAAAAAGGTTTCTGATTCGTCAACATGAGTCATCTTTCTAATTACACAGTTTCTCATGTCTCAGTATTGTTGATATTATTACACAGAAGAGAAACATATTTCTTAAGATGTTTTACTTCTTTAAGATGGCGATTCAATGCGCTTTTGTTCACCAAACTTTTTCATATCACCCCTTATATATATATATATATATATATATATATATATATATATGTTTATTATTTTTGTTTATGCACACAAGTCATAGCGAAAGCAATCTGTTGTCTAGTCACACTGATGAGCTGTGATACAGCGAAACTGTCTGTCGATGACTATTCGATTAAGCTCTCGGAGAGGAAGGGGTGACTTTATAACAGTAGCTGCTGCTGCTGCTAATGCAATGCTCTTCTACTCGAATCGAGCTCTCCTAGTTGCTGACGTCTTTCGCATAGTAAAACGTTAAAATTTCACTTACGCTGAGCGATGATAGCTTGGGTGTAGAATCTCTGACTGATGCCAAATCAGTCGGGTTTCGATCCCGGCTTGAAGCCACACAGATGAGCTGTGATACAGCCAAAAAAAGTCTGTCTGTGGATGACCATATATATATATATATATATATATATATATATATATATATATATATATATATATATATTAATTATTTGAAAACAGACACCACAGGGTCTTCTTTCAGGTAAGGAATATGACATTCGCTGATTCCTGATATATTAACGTTTATTGCTGAAAGACTCTATCAAGCTTTACATAAGAATTCTGTAGTTAGGGCTCTTGCTTTGGATATATTGAAGGCATTTGACAGGCTTAAGATTATTAGTATTCTTTGAAAATTGAAAAGTTATGGTATTTCTGGAGGGAGTTTATTGATTTGGTTTTTTCGGATCAAATCTCGAAATGAAAGTTGGCATGAATGGTCACTCTTCTAGATCCTTTTAGATTAATGAAGCTGTTTCTCAGAGCTCTACAATAATTTTCTCGCCAGAATCTTACATATTTGTTAGTCTGCCATTCGACTTTCCTTTGATTATTGCTACCAAACATAGTCTACTGATATTGCTATATATTTAGATATTTAAAATATCTGCAATATTATTAGACTAGCATCTTGGCTTCAGTCACTTTCTCACCGCCGTAATGTAGCTTCCCTGTCTCTTTTCTATAAATAAATGGTGTTTCATTAAGACGGATTATATATAAGGGTTGTTCAATAAGACGGATTATATATAAGAGTATTTCATTAAGACGGATCAAAGTCAGCAGTAAATAAATCAGTGTTATTGATGAAAATTTATTAATTTCTCTATAGGGATCATGTCATTTAAGTCATAGTAATTATATGTGAAAAATAATATCACTCAAATATCCGCCAAATCTGAAATAAAAAGAAAATAATCATTAGACGCTTAAACTTAATTCACATTTAAAATCGGTCCAAGATATTGGAATACCCTTTACTTTATGGTAATTGTTCTAATGAAATTTCCTCTATGGTACCAAGATTTTATGAATTTAAGCGCTGTACTAGATTGGTCGAAAGGGTCATATTACAGTTGAAATGGCTGGATGTAACCGTAAGTTCTATGCTAACAGTTTCTTTTCACTACTTCCAGCTTCTTGCTTTCCAGTGAAATTTGGTCTTAAAAAATTCAATGTTAATCCTTAACTTCTGTCTTCTTTATTTCTGTCTTTTTATTGTTCTCTCTCCTTAATAGTGTGTATTAAAATGAGACCCAATTGAACTATGATCGTAGCTCAATTAGGTCACATTTAAATAATTTAAATATACATGGAGACCTACCAAATTCCATTACAACATACGCGATGATAATAAAAATATTCAGATGTAAGAAAAAGCTAAGAATAATGGAATCATTATTAATAAAAGTGTTATGGTCCGGTTCCTTGTACCACGGTGATAGTCCAAGGTAGAACCAATAAAGAAGAACACGAACACAGGTATGGAATAACACAGATATGAACAATCAGGTTTAGTAGTAATTGTCTGAACGCGACTCTGATTCGGACTGCCTCTGACTCGACTGACTGACTCGCTCTGACTGACTGACAGACTCCTGACGGACTTCACTCCAGACTTCAGACTGAACTCACTGCTTCCTCTTGAGGCGCAATATTTATTACGTATAGGATAGTCCATTATGTTATTATGTGTAAGGTCCCATAACAAAAAGAAAAGTCAATACATAATAATATTAATTATGAACACGGCTATAATGTGATGACCATGTTTAAAAAAATTGCTATAACTCTCGATACCTGCATAAAACTATCCATACATTCAGTTAAAAGCAAAAATAAAATCATCCTTGATAATGGGTAAAATTATAGCCGAGTGTGCTCGCCCATACAGAACATTCAAGCAATTTCTACATGATTTATGTACTGAAAAGAAAATTATAAGAACAGAAGAACAATTAAATAAAAAAGCTTGGTAGTTTTTAATGAGACCTAAACACGCACACACGCGCGCGGACGGACATATATATATATATATATATATATATATATATATATATATATGTGTGTGTGTGTGTGTGTGTGTGTGTGTGTCTGTGTGTGTATGTATGATAGGATATATATATATATATATATATATATATATATATATATATATATATATATATATATATACACACACAAAACATATATTCATTGAATCAGTTTTGGTTAAATAATTGAGACATGAAATTGAAAGGATTAAAACGAAAATAAATAGACATAATGCATCTAAATTATATATATATATATATATATATATATATATATATATATTAATGAATACCAATCACTAAAAAGATTGAAGACTATTTTTATACTTTTCATGAAACAAAGATTCTTACCTATGGTATTTTAATAATCTGATATTCATGAATTAATAATTTTGCTCTGTCTCTGATATAGAGCTGCTCTCGTTTGATCTTTATCCTCTTGGAAATTCCATACGGATTACCAATTTAATTTATTATATATATATATATATATATATATATATATATATATATATATATATATATGTGTGTGTGTGTGTGTGTGTGTGAAAAATATAAATACATATACAAACATATATACAGGTAACTGAAAATTAACACCCTATTTTATGCATCAGCCGCCAGCCAGGAGTCCTGACTTAACACCCTGTGACTTTTTTCCTACTATACCAGACAAAAACATTGGAAGGACTTAAAGGGTGAATACAAGAAGTGTATGACATCGATATAACAAGAGTTTTTTTGCTGAAATCAGTTGACGGCTCGAGAAGCTGGTCGCGAAATCTGGTGCCTATAACGAATTTTAAATAACACATCATACTAAAGGCTTTGCTCTCATATCCATTCCTTGTTAAAATTATAGTTGATATATAAATTATAAGTATTTTAAAATGGGGTGTTACTTTTGCGGTTCGATGATAAGGAAAACTGTCACGCAAATCACAATTATAAAGTTCTCCTGCTGAGTTATACTTAAGTAAACATCTATCTATCTATCTATCTATCTATCTATCTATCTGTCTGTCTGTCTCATATTTTCTTTCAATGAGAAGAAACTCTTTATTTATCAATTGGTATTTATAATGGAAAAACATCGTTGACACTAACCCTTGAATTTGTCGGGACATTGGAATGTCATTTGTCTGACATGTTCCTTGATTATTTTTCTCCTGTTCCTAAACTTGTTTTCAACTTTCACCTGTCATGTCTGACCCCCGTAATCAAAATGTCTCTTTAGCGCAACTACCAACCAGACGTTTCCTGGCAAATTTGCAGGTCGTCTGCCAAAGAAGACACCGCTTTACGCCATTAATAATCCGACCGGACTTCCCTGAAATATTTCCTCGCAGTATTTCTGCAAATGCAATTAACTATCCCCTTTAGTGTGCAAACCTTTTATTAAAGTAAATTTTACTTTTAAGTACTAAAAGATAAATAAAATAATACTGACTCAACATGAGCCTTTCGCAATAATAGTGTCTTTGAAAAGAGTCATACAACTTGCGTCTTCATATCCGGTAGATTAAGTTTTTCTTCGTTTGGGAGTTACGAAATAAAAATGAAATATAGTCCTTTATTTTTTTATTACTAGTGAATTTATTGTCTAAAATGACATTTTTATTGCTTTAAGGAAGGCGGTAAAAATTATAAAAAAAACAAAAAAAAAAACAAATATGGGTATAAATCATGAAAACATGTTTCAAATTATCGTAAGGTTTTCGTCAGAAATCTTTGAGAATATGTAATGATTTTAGCAAGGATTATCCTGTTACTAGTGACACCATGTGAGAGATTGCTATGTGCCTTCAGGGCGCAGGGGATTTTTGAACCTGGGTCTCCTTTGTTGGATAAACCACCGTTTGGTCCGGCAACCGCTCAGCCACGCGGAACTCGGTGAAGAAGGTATGATTTACTTAAAAAATGGAAACAGAGCCTTGCCGGATCAGTTTCTCCTACAAAGGTGGTCGCATGTTCAATCCCTGCCGAAGAATACCTTTACTAGGATTTTTCGAATGCACCCTGTTTAATAAATACAAAACGAGGTGTCTATTTCCAATAACAAGTGTGTACTACAGTGTAACCCGGATATAAGAGAGCTGTCGGGACCGGAGAAGAAGTCTCTTATATCCGGGTTTGGTCTATTTTATATACATTAACACAGGCTCTAATTTGGGACCAGAGAAAATCTCTCTTATATCCGGATTTCTCATATCCGGGTCTCTTATATCCGGGTTACACTGTATAAGAACCTTTGAAGTAATAAAAATAATATATATTAAATATGAATTCTGATATTTATATAAATTCCGATATATTTTTTAAAATGGCATAGCCTTAATGGACGATAATGCCTTTTTCTTTATTATCTCTGAATTACCATAATTCCTTGCGAAAGATGGTGCCGTTGTTTCCAGTTGCTTTCTCACCGGTTTCGTATCCAATCCTTCACTTACTGGCTATCGCGTTAGGACACAGAGAGCAGCATACCCTTCTGTTTAATTTGTAGCTGAAAAAAAGAGAAGACGAGATTATTGCTTTCCCCCATAGAAGTTGTGCCCGCAATTTCAACATCGATTTCTGGACAGATATCCGTTACACTACGTAAAGGTAAGTAATGGTTATTTAGACTTATGAATAAGCAGAATCAGAAATATGGACATCAGAGAATTTTAGTGGTTTTTAGAATTCAGGAACTATAGGAAAATAAATAAGTTGCTCGGTGGAAATTAATATACCCGTAAGATAAACGAAGGTTTAGAACCCCTACAAGAATATAACGGAAGAATTAAAAAAATCAAATAAAAAACGACAGCTCACAGTTTTATTTCAAAAGCTTCGCTTGCAATGGATATTTGAATCTTAACGACATTTGTCTTCTTGTCGCCAATATATCACTTTGTGGTAGATCTCATTATTTCTCTGAATGGATAGCGGCTCAGATTGAGAAATCGGAGAGCCGAGTTCGAATTCCACTTGAATCCATTGCATTCACTTACGTGCTAATACCCTCGGAAAAGGTATAAATCCTCTTCTCCCTCCAGCTATGGGTAAATAGTAGGACAGACCGAGTTCTATAGCCTTGGATGGCAACAGGTCTACCGCAGAAAGAAATGGCAACCGACTGCGGGAAAAAAATCTGACTCATCAGTCATGCATCGAAAGATACATGATCGCCCGAGCGTGGCACGTAACTGACTGATATGTGATATTTTATTCAAAAGTCTTCAGTGGAAAATATCATGATACCATTTCTGACCTTAGGTCCCTGGTCATCGTTACCCTTGGTAACTGACTCAGCTGATATCTATCTCTCACGAGATCTATCTGGGAAGTATGCAAGAATAATCTAAAGCATGGGTACCCAGGCTAGGTGATTATCCCCACCCACACTCAGGAGGAGAATTTCAGGCTTTTAATGGCGGAAGCTTTTACTTTTCCTTGTTTTCTTTTTTTATTTATAGAATATTGTTTATAGATTTAAAATGCCTCGCATACGAGTAAACATCTTGTTTATTGAAGCATGCTTCAATTTATTTACTCAATAATAAATTACAAATTAAAACAAATTACTGCACGTGGATTCAGGTTTAAAAATCCATCAACATTTTATATTGTTATAAAATTTGTAAATCTATATAAAAGTAATCAATGTAAATGCATCTGAACTAATATGGAAAACAACGAAAATTTTCCCATCCTGGGTATAACGATAAACTGCATCTGCGTTCTGGGTATGATGATAAACTGCATCCGCGTCCTGGGTAAGACGATAAACTATGTCCAAAAGCAGGTACTCTGATCAGGAGGTTTTGAGGGGCGTGGAACCACCTCTTAATTGCTAATTGTTCCCACGTCCACCCTGAACCGGGGTGGTAGCACCTGTTAGGGTCCCAGCTATGGGCTAATAGTTAACCACTAAACGGAGGTCAAAACACTTTGAAAGTGTAAAAATAGGTTTTTATACCAGAAATATTTTGTGAAAAATTATTACCAACAATACATTTTTGAAAAAAATATTAACAACAATAGATTTTGGAAATGAAAAAAATATTAGCAATAAAATTTTGAGAGAAAAAATATTACCTGCAATACATTTTGAAGAAAAAATATTTCCAGAAATAAATTTTTGAAGGAAAAAAAAAATACCTGCAATACATTTTTGAAAAAAAATATTTCCAGAAATAGATTTCTGAAAAATAAAAAATATATATATTGCCAGCAATAAAAATTTTATAGACGTTAAACAACCCATAGAGGTTGATATGCTGTAAAACAAACCAAACCAAACGAAAATTTTCAATATTATATGCATATTATTTGGAAGGCGACTTTTGAGTTGGACAATCTTGAAAAGTAGTGGGCGAGAATGACACTCTGACATGATGAAAAGGATGCATTAGACAATAAAGTTTGAGAACCGCTAATTTAAAAACATTCAGTATATCATATATGTTTCTTCATATATTCTCCTCCAACGCACCTTCCATGACTTGGGAACTTCGACGTGTTGCAATGGTTAGCAAGCTTGTCTCACTAGATCAGTTATGACTGAATAGTGAGATTGATTCCCACTGAGTGCCCTCTACTCACAGCCTTGGGCCATATCTACAGTAGGCTTAAAAAAAAAAAGTCATCTCCCATGATTCTTACTGGTCATTTCATTGAACGAGGTTGGTGTATACCCAACAGTTTCGTACATATAAAAATGAAACGTTTCAAGAATCTTAGGCAATTATATTTTTTAAATATTAATTAGCAAGTCATTAAGCAAAGCTTAATGATTGGTTAATCGTTCATTAAAGTAAACACTGACTTAATAGCAGTTTCCTTCTCAGATATGATTAATGACAGTTTGTTTGTTTGTTTTTTTGTTTTTTGGACCTTTTTTTGTTTGTAAAAAAAAATAGAAAAAAAATCAAAATGTACAAATCCTAATTACGATTTTAGAAACGGATGTAAATTTCCCGGAAAAACAATTTGATATGTTTAGGTGGTTAGTTATTATCCACGGATATGTAGGTGGTTAGATATTATCCACGGATATCACGATATGTTGAAGATCCTCGAAGTCGATATAGCGTAGATAAAGAACTAATAATATATATATATATATATATATATATATATATATATATATATATATATATATATATATATATAGTCCTTTATCTGCGCTAGACTAATCTTTGTATATCTATAAATACTTTATATATATATATATATATATAAAGTATTTATAGATATATAATTATATAAATACTTTTATATATATATATATATATATAAAGTATTTATAGATATACAAAAGATTAGTCTAGAGCAGATAAAGGACTATATATATATATATATATATATATATATATATATATATATAAGTCTTATATAAAAGTTGTTCCAATAACTTGGACCGATTTTAAATGTGAATTAAGTTTAAGCGTCTAATGATTGTTTACTTTTTCTTTCAGATTTGGTGGACATTTGGGCGATATTAGTTTTCACACATAAATGTCATAACTTAAAACAACATGATCCCATAGAGAAATACATAAATTTTCACCAATAACACTGATTTATTTACTGCAGTCTTTGATTCCGTCTTAATGAAACACCTTTATATATAATCCGTCTTAATGAAACACTCTATATATATATATATATATATATATATATATATATATATATATATATATATATATATATATATATAATACTTAACCAGAAGATCCATTTAGGTGAAATCTAGGTAGGTAGGTAGTTTCTGGCTCACTAAGATTTGTTATACTCTGCTCTACTTTGTTTATTGAGCACTTTATGTTTTTCTTATTTTACCCGATTGTTTTTTCCTTCTTCTTTGGACTAGAAACTTCGATATTGGGCGACTCTTTTCGACTTGGATGTTTTTGATCTTTTCTTTTTTTTCCAAAAGTTTTCTCCAGATACACATTTTTTTTAATATATTTTTTCTCGCAAATTGTACTGTCCGGTTTTTTTTCACACCTGTCGAGTCCTACATATATATATATATATATATATATATATATATATATATATATATATATATATATATATATATATATATTCAAGAATTCAAGAAAGACATTCGGATTACTAATATTAAAGACAGAGAATGTCTCATATCGAAAATATTTGACATTGAATAACATAAGGAAAAAATTAATTATTTTTAATAATATGTGGAAATCTCCGCTTTTACCTGAAGACGGTCGCAAGACCAGAAACACGTGTAGTAAAATTATGAAAAAATAAAGCATTATTTTTTTTTTTTTTTAAATCCACAGTACAACCAAAAAACTTTTGCGGCACCTGTTTTTCTTCTTTTTAATATATATATATATATATATATATATATATATATATATATATATATATATATCGTATTATTCAAGGAATTAATAATAAGTTAATGTCTCATTAAGTCTTGTTAGAGAAGTAATTTCGCCATTAATCACATTAATATTGCTAATTAATTCTCTGTATAAATTACTTCTTTATTATATAATATATAGACTGCAATTAGCATGTGTGATCTTGGAAAAAGCATGAACCTACGTCCTTCTAACCAGTTCTATCGCCAGTTGATTGATGCTGTTTTGGTTGAATTAAAAATAATGTATTGTAAAAGGCATGAATCTATATTCCTTACTTGTCATTATCATCAGACATCTTGACAAAAGAGGTCTTACCTTATTCAAGCAACAGTGGTTAAAAGAAGACAGTGCAGCTGAGTGCGACCATTATTTCTGACCGTGAGATCCGGGTTTGAATCTTATGGTCGATTTATCAGGAATGAATATGTTTGGTGTTATCGTCCTGGAAAAGGCGATCCCAGGGTGTGGCATTTTTAGAAATTCCCGGAAAACCATGCTACGTGTTGAGCCAAGCGTTATGAGTGAAATTGGGTGAACGGAACCATTGGGAGCCATCTATGGTTGTGCGAGATTTTCAACGTGTTGGACTTCTCCAGACTGTTGATCTCGTGCACCCACCAAAAAACTGTAACTATGGTCCTATCCGCATAGTTGCCGGATACACCGAAGGTAGATTCTGTGGATGTTGAACAAACAAATATGCCTGGGCAGGCGTCTGCAACGGGGATCAGCTAGCCACTCTGGTAGACAGGCATCATCGGTTACGAGTGGCTGCCTCATTTATATATATATATATATATATATATATATATGTTTGTAACTCTGGGCCACAAACTCACATCAGTCCAACTAAATATGTTAGCTCTGTCTCTGATATTGAGCGCTTTCTAATAAGTACCGCGCATATAATTTATAAATAATATATATTATATATTGCACGCACACACACACACACACACACACACACACACACACACACACACATATGCATAGGCTTTTCATATAATATATATATATATATATATATATATATATATATATATTAAAAAAGAGAGAAACGGCAAATATTTTTGGTTAAAATATACATTTGTTTTATTGTAAATATTGTATTCTATTCTTCATATTTCCGCTACACGGGTTGCCGGTCTCTTGTTCTTCTTCAGCCAAATAAAAAGAATAAATTTACTTGTGTTAATGTGTCAATTCGTAGTTTGTTAAGTTGTTTCATATTTACTAGTTTATTTATTTAGATTTCTGTCTCTATCTGTGGGATATCTGACATATTATGATTTATTTATTCGGACTGTTATTCTCATCTTCATTGACATATTCACAAAGTTTCCGCCATTGTACGCTCTAGCCTTCTTCGGGTGATTGGAATTTCAAACTGAACCCTTGATTTCGTCCACCGGAGTAGATTGTTCTAGTTCCACGTGCCATGACTCTTCCCTTTGACTCAACTTCAGCAAGTTTTTGGTTTCACCCCTACTGTAGCCTGGTATTAAACTCACAAGTCGTTGGGTCAAGTAACTGGAGCTAACCAACGTCTTTATCCACTGGGTCATGTGTTATTTAGATTTGTTGTTTCGGAGTGTTGGTTAACTTACTTATTTAGTTTAAAGTAACTTATTTATTTAGCTTAGAGTATTGACTTTGTCGAAAATATATTACATTATTTCTGTTGTATATAGTGTATATATTTGCACTTATCATCCGGGTATTTTATAAGGTATTCGCTTCTTAGTTTTCGATTTTTAAGTAACATAGTAAATTTGTGCATTTTCGTGTGTATTTTTTCTTTAGTCAGTCAGTTATATGCTATGCATGATACACGATTAGGCAA